TAGGGTTTAGGGTTAGGGTTTAGGGTTTAGGGTTTAGGGTTTAGGGTTTAGGGTTATATAGGGCCTTGGGAATAAGGGAATATATTGGGGTTATATAGGGATACTGGAAAAGAAAATGGAAGCTACTACAGAATTATGGGGTATATATTGGGGTTATATCATGATCATCCAAAAAAAGTGCTGATAACAAACGGGAGCTGTGAGCGACGTAATCTTGTTGGTCGCAACAGCAGCAAGAGCAACAGTGAATAATTAGTGACTCTGATAAATGTATACGTGGCAGAGATAGCTGTGGAAGTGGTCAGGCCATCGCCGCAACTACCTGACTCCTATGTTTGCAAGGTAGTCAGTGTTCAAGTGCAGCTTCTGCATAGCCTTCTGTCGGGAAAGCAGCTCTGCGCTCAACCCGAACTACCATTTAGGAGGAGATGGGCAGTATGGACGAATGAGATGGAAACGTGCAAGGAAACTTCTGTATGCCCAGCGAGAAATGGAGAGTACCTTTACGGATAACTTGTTGTTCGCAGGTTCGTAGTAGGGAGTGCGAAGTGCGCTGCAAGGATGATTGGTCACTACATTATGAATATTATACGTATCCATTCCCGCGTTGGGGATTGATGCCACATGGAACCCCAACAGTTGTCACCATTGTTTATACTGTACTCACTGGGGATAGCCGTCTCATCCCCGCCCCCGTCCCACCACCGCAGCTTTTGCTGACATCATATTTAAGAAACTTGGGGTGCAAAAAGGCATCCCCCAAGTCTATTGCCTACTAGTCTCTAGAAGCCCATATGGGAAGTTCCCAAAATTAGGGGTACCTTTTTGGGGGTCCCCATAATAAGCATTATGGTATTTTGGGGTCCATAGTGGGTTCCCTCTATTTAGGGAAACTACCATATTCAGCTGTTCTACATAAAGGGGTGCTTAACAAAGGCGGGCAGGGATTGATTGCTCATTAAGACATAGGCTCTACAGACCCTGGGGCCATAAAATAGGACCCGACCCCAACCCCCATGTTTGCAAAAATCCACACATCAGTTTCCGAATCCGGAAAATGAGCCACCCACACAAGTACTCTCAAATTATCTCAAATGCCCTGCAAAATTCCAGTTCCCAGAGTGTAGATACCAGAAAGCCCTAAACCGTACAAATTCCCGCCCACTTGGCTGCCCCCGGCCTCCCTTGGTTCCCTATTCATAATGATTACTTAGACATAAGGGCTAATTAAAGTTGATTACGGGGAACCTAGGGCCTTGCCTGTGGGACCACATAGAGCTTATACTTGGAGCCAATGGGCATAGCTGGCAAGCCTGCAGCTTCCAGGTTTAGGTTGGCTAGAAGCCTACCAATACTCCCCTGTGTACCCCCCATATCCCCGACAGACCCCTAAACCCTAAACCTCTACAAACCCCTAAACCCTATACCCCAAACCATGCTGTCTTTAAGCAGGAAATTGCAGGGATGCATTGACATTGCGGTTGCCATCCCCAAAGACACTGGGAACACCAGGTTGGCCTTTTTGGGAAGGGCTCCATGAGAACTATAGTCTAAGCTCCTTGAAGGGGGTTACATACGGGACTATATAGGAGAGCATTATACGTGTGTTTTTTTTGGTGGATATTGGAGTTTGGACTATAGCTGCATGATGCCGCATGTCTGCTTGGGGATGTGGGAGGGCGGGATCAGGTTGTTGCTTGGTTTTTGGTGGGGTTCAGGGAATTTCGGGTTGCATGACTGAAGGTTGTTGCGGTCTATTCAAGGAAATGGGGATTGTTCAGATGTCAAGTTTAGGAAAGCTCGAGAAGGTTCTTTGGAATGACGGTTTTCAAAACCTACTGGCTCCTCGAAGAGTGTCCCCCCCTCAACAGAACAACTTTGAATCGCCTACATCCAGCATCTAACAAGCACCTTCGATGAAGCAGCCCCCTCCCTGAGATCTCAAGAAAGGGTACAGCCACTTGACTACATAGGTATGCACCCTAGACACCCCACCCGAATCCCCAAGTCCCGAAGCCATAAAACCTCTAACTTCAACTGCCGGACTCTCAGCCAAAATCCATAAATCATACACAGCAGACTTCTGCTGACGAAGCGACTGCAGCTCCAAATGTCTGGAAGTGTTTCCTCCTGGAACAAGTGCATGTGTTGGAAAACTGTCCAATCTTGGGGGCGGTATAGGGATCTCAAAGCATGTGCAAACATAATGGAAGGATTATAGGTTGTAAGCTACGAACCTACCAGTGCTACTACTGCGACTGCTACTACTACTTCAGCTGCGCATACTCCTACTCCTACACCTCCTTACTTGTAATTAGTACTCCTCCTCCTACTATTGGTACTGCTACTACTACACATGATAGCACTAATGCTGCTACTGCTACTGCGAGTGCACCTACTCCTTACACTACCATGGCACTTAGCACCCCTACTAAAGTTAACGTTAACTTTTGGGTACCTGAAATAGGCGTATAATAGGAAAGACCCAAATCATTAAGGTGTCAAAGACCTAGCTAAGTGCCAAGGAGCACCTACAATGACTTCAAGCCCTTTTCCTCGGTCAATGGCGTGGCGTTGACGTCCCAGCCATTGAAATCCCCAACCAGGGAGACAGCAGAGGCGAAGGGCATCCACTCCTGAAGGCGTTTAGGCTTTAAACTTTTGGGTTTTGCTTCGGTTTCAAGGTCGGCTCCCAGAATTCCAATTTGAAGTCTGTGGCTCAGTAGGTAGCTGGATAAAAAAAGACGACGCGGATATGGTCTTCAGATGCTAGCTCCCTGGGAAACTATGACTATGAGCCCGAGACTCAAAACCCAACACCGCCCTAAATCCTGAAACCTACACCTCCTTCACCCATGTATCCCACAAGCCCTGAAATCATTCCAACAAAAAAACTCTAGGTTCCCCTGTAAACCCTAAATAATAAGGGTGCCTTTTTTCCTACTGTTCTACTTTAATAAGGAGACCCCCAAGTAAAAAGGGTAAAAGGGTACTACTGGGGTACCTAGAACTTTAGCTGGTAGAGATTCGCAGTATGTCCATTCAGACCCATCCCGCTGGAGGCCGAAAGTCTTGTAGCCTGGGCTTCAGGAATTCCGGCTTCAGGGTTTGGAGCTTAGCTATACTATTATAGGGTCTATATAAGGATAATTTAGGTGCCCCCCCCCTCAGTAATAGTGACTATAAGGGATAATAGGGATTATATTAGGGTTTTTATATATTCTTATCATACTACTATTACAGGGTGGGGGTTCTCCTAAGGGATAATATAGGTATCATGCGAAGGAAAATGGAAACTGCTACATTATTATAGAACACCCAAAGGGTCCAAGTACCCAATAATGAGGTACTTGGGTTTTGGGTCATAGCAAATGTAGTACAGATTTTGGTTAAGTATATGATTATTAGGTACTTGGACCCTTGGGGTTAGAGTTGGAACACTAAAGTTTCACGGTTCGGAAGTGCCAAGGCTAAGAGTTTGTGGAATTGGGATCCACGTTGAATGTTTTGAGCGCATGGAATGGGATTAACCCAAAACCCAAAACCCTAAACCCTAAAACCTAAATCTTAAACCCTAAACCTTAAACCCTAAAACCCTAAACCCTACTCTAAAACCCTAAAAAATAAACCCTGGGTTCAGCCATCAAGGTTTGGGGGTCAGGCTTCAGGCAGTCGATCTGCAGGGCAGCCCATACAAGGCAGCCTGAACTCTGAACCCTTAATGCAAGTAAACTATACAGGGGTCAAGGGTTTAGGCTTTAGGGTTTGGGGTTACGGCTTTAGGGTTAATGGTTTAGGGGTTTAGGGTTTAGGCGTTAAGGAACTTGAATTTAAGTTGCCTCAATTTGGTATGGAATCATACCAAACACTAGGCGTTCCTTATGCTAGTATCTTAGATCAAGCTTCTTAACAGCAATCCACAAAATGTGCCAGAGCCTCAGAAGGCTGCAGAAGAATGAGTCCGAGCAGGACAAGGTTGATGTGTAGCAACAACGACGACGACAACGACTACAACGAAAACACACACACACACACACCCGCACACACACACACACACCACAAGGACAACCACAACAGGACAATTACCGCAGCTGCTGAGAGGGACTGTTCTTTTGTCTTGAAGCGTGTGCTTCGTCTTAAAGACCTTTGGCTAAATCATGCTTGCGGATGAAATTCGAAAGCTGTTGTAGAAACCGTGTATAACCCTGAATCTAAACAAAAAATACCGAAAATACCTCATTTGGGCGTTGTAGGGTTTAGAACTAACCCTAATTAGGGAACCAAGCTGACGTCAAACTCAACCGCTAGCTATACCCCTGGGCACAAAGAACACAGACACATGAGTATTGCGACACTGTTCCCTTATGACATAAACAGCCATACTATAATCTACACCGAAAAACCCTGTCGAACGGCCCCTGGGTAACCCCCCAAAACTGTACTGTAATCCAAAAAGAAAAAACTACCACCCTGAACCTATTCCTATAAACAACCGGAGCTCCAATCCCTAAATCCCTAAGCCCCTATAAATCCCTCATCCCATCTCATCCCTAACCCTAAACCCTTCAACCCTGCCAGGCCGAGCAGCTTTCAGCCAGCTTGGTTAGGTCGCCACCACAGGCATCCAAAGATTCTTGAAAGGCCGCCAGCCTGCCTTGGCTTACTGCAGAATCCTAAATCAAGAAACAAGTATAATTAGGTAGACACACACAATGCGTATATATATATATACATATGCATGCATAGGCATGATATAGGGTTTAGGGTTTGGAGTTTTGTGTTTAGGGTTCAGGGTATAGAGTATAGGGCTCCTGGATGTTCTACAGGGGTTATATGCAGTTGTAATAGTTGAAAACAACGGAAGCTACTATCTAGGTTAAGGTGTTATGCTGTAAAAAGGGCTTAGTGTGGGTTCTATACGGGCTATAGGGATCTCCTGGGTTTGACAGTTAAGGGTTTAGGGTTAGAAGAGTGATAATGGAGAATCAAATGGAACCCTAAACCCTAAACAGTTGTGTACAGGCGCTGCAGGTAGGGGCCCAACTGCTTAGATTTGATTGTGCATTGCATGCTGTACTTTTTAATTGTAAAGAATACTGCAGCGTCTCAATATGATTTGTACATGATGTCGAAGCCGGAATATCTAGAAATGGTATTCCATTCCAATTTTCTGGAACTAGACGAATAATGATTCAGGCTCCCCACGTTAGGGCTTTTATGGATTAGGGATGTCAGGTGCTGTAGGAGTTTTGGAATGTGAAGGGCCTTGCAGGGCTTAGGGTTCCGAAGAGTATAGGGGCTGGGTGTAGCCGTGGGGAGAGTCACCATGCGTAAGGTTTCGTTGGGTTCAGTATAGGCGGAGTGGGAAACCATTAGGGGCCTAACAGTCTTATTGGATGCCATACACCAGCCATGCACATGCATGTACATGCCTTGAAGGAGTGGTAAGGGAAAACATATGGATTCTGCGATGCAGCTGTGCACCTGTCCTGGCTAGCAAGAAGCATCAAAGGTCTATGCTTAGGCTTGAGGGTGTAAGATAGGGGCTAGAAATAAGGGACTGGGGGCTTATGATTCAGCGGTTGGGCGTCTTCGTTCAAAACCAAGAATGTCAGACTTAAAGGCAGGTTCGAGAAGAGCTTGTTTTGGCTTGTTTGGACCAGGATACCTTAAGACAACAATCAAATGTGTGCGGACCCTTCAGACGGCGGTAGGGGACTACTCGTTCTTCGATTGCGTGAGGGTTAGTTTCGCACCATATTGCGGACACGAGGCGTACAAGTCAGGACAAGGAATCTGAAAAGCCAGATCCATCTACACCACTCTGCACGTCCTGTTGGTCAGATGTACTTACTAGTTCCCAATCATTAGTCCACGCAGCCATACATGGGTTCTCCGACCCTCCACCCACGTAGACCGTGATCCCTTACCCAAAAATGTCATGGAACGCTGCAAAGGGCTACTGCTTTTTGAAAACAAGTTGTTTATTGAAATGGTGGAGAGTACTTCAAACCCCGCCAGGCTGCTTTGCGACTGCTGAAGGTCGGAGACCTGCTCGTGCGTTTCCGCAAGAGCTTGGTCCAGGGCTTCCAAATCCTGGGCGCTCCGTTCAAGATCATATTGTGGAGGCTATCAGACTTTTTGTGTAGCGCTTAAAGAATTGTCAAATGACTGTAGAAGAGTTGCAAGTATGAGGTGATCACAATTATCTTTCAACAATGCGCAAACAACCACCGAGTCGATCGACTTCTGGAGGATCTTCGCTGCATTTTCAAAAAAAAAAAAAGACGAACAAAACCTCCTTCAAGAAACTCCAAAAATGTCATACTTGGCTGCCTGGTGTCCATGAAGTGAAGACCAGAGTAGCACCGCGTCATATCGCGGACATCCACCCCTGCCTGCCCAGGGGCTAAGAAACTGGGGATGACGATGGGAGGACCCCTTGCCAAATCCTATTCCCCCTTAGACTCCCTTAATTCCCAAACCCGTAAGAGACCCTAAATGGCTCCATTTTCTATTGAGACCCACCCCAACCCTAAACTCTTGGACCCCACACGCGAATCCCGTGAGCCTCTTCCGAGGACTTCGGCTTCTCTTCCTCCTGTCCATGCTGTGAAGGGGATAGGGATATGTAAGAGGAAGGCAAAGAAATGGACTCTACGAAATTTCCTCGGGTTTAGGATGTTAAGATGATAAATGGAAAACACGAAAACCCCCCCCAAAAAAAAAGACAACAAAGAGTGTGTAGGGATAGTGGAAGATAAGCTTGGAAATCTAACATGCGCAATGAAAGGGATTGTAATGTAGGGCCCTTACAAAAAAAACACTGCAGGATGATTGGGTAGTATTCGTGAAGCACTATAGGATGTAACTAGCAGCGATTTGGGGCAAATGTCTGACTGTTGATTGCTTGGACTCGGGCCCTTAAGGTTGCTGGAGTTGAATAGAGCCGGTCCACTTTGTGTGCCCTGAAGGATTGCAAGTGCGGTATGGCAACAGCATATGAAACCGCCTTCAGCCTCAACGATGTAATGAGGGGGTGCGGTGTGTACGGCGTATGTGTTTTTCTTTGAGCTCCGGCTGTTCAGGGAAGTAAAACGTGGCTCTAAGTACAGATGCCATTCGGAAGCTCCACCAAAACGCTACGCAGAATCACTCAAACAAAACACAAACTCCAAGATCAGAATCGGACACTAGAAAAGCACATCTAATCATAGGGCGACTTGCTGACAAATGACCGCAGGAATGAAAACGCTGGTGGTACAGAAAGCATTACCATGGAAAAAGTTGAGCTAGCTAATAATATAAACCTAGTCCTAATATAATACCCTATTATACTACAGTAGTTTCCATTTTCTGTTCCATTATCCCCATATAACCCCAATTTATACCCTAAAATCCCTATATAGCCCCTATATAATCCCTATAATCCCTGTAGTTTCCATTTTCTTTTCCATTATCCCCATATAACCCTAATTTATACCCTATAATCCCTATATAGCCCCTATATAATCCCTATAATCCCTGTAGTTTCCATCTTCTTTCCATTATCCCTAATATAACCCCAATATATATTCTCAGCCTTGCAGGCAAAAGCCGATTTTCAACGCCCTGCAAGCCCAACATTCCGACTCACCTTGAGCTCCAAGGCTCCATGACAGAATTTAGGGCTGTCAGCCCAAAGCTGGACGTGTATTCTATGCAATTAAAATTCCTACTAGAATTGAACCTTGAAGCTGAAGATTCTTGATTTCAATGATAAGTACCGGCCTGTGGCTCCGGCTCCACGTATACCGGGGCAGGTGCTGGAGCAGGTGCTGGAGCAGGGGCAGGAGCCGGCGCGGGAGCCGGGGCGGGTTTGGGGGCAGGGGCTGCAGCTGGGGGAGCTTGGGTCTTCTTGTAGCCGCCGAGCCTAAGTTGGAGTGCAGTGCTAGATTTTTAGGAGGCTTCGTCAACGAGAATTGTATAGAAGTACAGCTGTGGGGATTGTCCTGGGATTACTCTCCAATTCGAGATAATACTTTTGTGCTGCAGGCTTAATATAATTAGGGATTATGGGACCTACATGTAATACACAAAACCGGGAAATCCAGATCTCCATATTTGCCCTAGAAGCCGTTCAGCAGCGGTCATTGGCTTGGGCGAGGGGTTCTGCGGGGTAGCATGATGCTGAGACACCGGCTCGGGCGCTGGCTGAGGCGCTGGCTGGGGCGCTGGCTGCGGGGCAGGCTGTGGGGCAGGCTGCCGTACTGGCTCTGGAGCGGGCTTTGGTGCAGGCGTGGGGGCGGGCGTTGGCTCAGGCTTTGGCTCCTCTGGGGGTATTTCCTCTGGTGGCGGGAGGGCATCCTCAGGCCGGCCATTCCTCAAGTAGCCCAGATGAGCCACTGTATATTCCCCCGGAAAATATATTCGGAATTTCGTGTCCTTTGACGCCTTGCAGGGTAAAATGCAGTTATCGGCAGTGACGATGTCAAAGGTTGCATCAAAGTTCTCGTTGAGATGAACCGCGCCATCCTCACCAAAGTCAAAGTCCAGCATCTCCTCAACGCCGTCCCTATGGATCAGCAAAGACCTGGCAATGTCCCAAGGCTGGAGCAGGACATGCTTTCGGTGGTTACTTGCTTGTGATAGACTATGTCAAGTTCATCACGTCAAAGTCTTGGGGTAGATTGAGGCCAGAAAGATCATGTACGTTTAGGCAGCAGCATCTCTTCCAGATGTTTTTTCTGACGGAAGGTTCTTTGGCCCGGTACTTTCAGGATCTAGACTTGAAATCAAGTACTGACAACATACACGCTTCCGCGTACGACCGTCACCTTGCTCGAGCCTAGCGACCTTTGCGCAGCTCTCGAAAAGCCGGTTCAGTCAATAGAACACTAGGTGCAGGATCTCTCTGCATATCGCCATTGCCATGTATCTTAAGCAACCTCCGAGATCCAAAGACCAGTCGAATCGAATTGCTCAGTACAATCAACGTCTGCCTATGAAGCTGCAGGTCAACAAACCAAAATCTAATTGAATGACTCCAGAAAGCTTCCCAAACATCCAGGGATGTGACCTTGACGGAAACCACAAAACTTGAAGCAAGACTTACATCCTCATCAAACAGCTTAATCTGGTCAAAGGTGCAGTTTGAGCCCTTCGGTTGTGTCCAGGTCGTACTGTCCCAGGAAGCTCTCTTCAACCTGAGTCTATGCTACAGTTTCCCGGTGTGATTCCTCAAGCTTAGATAGTACTCTTGTTAAAGGCTTTTGCAGAAAGCGGGCTGGCTGCTGAAAAAACCAAGGCAACAACATCTACCGTAGCGTAAGTGAGTGTTAGCCATGCTCCCGTGTATTGTACTCCCGTGCAGCAGGATTTTCAAGTGCTTGTGCAGCACTCACACGGCAAACGCCAGAGTTCAAACTTCCGAACGCGTAGCCGCAAAACATTGCAAGCGAGCAGTAGTTCACAAGCCAGCCTATCCAGACATCTGCTCACATCACTTAGTGACCTGTAAGCCCTGCCGCTGGTGTACACAACTTACCAATGATCGTGGGGCTGCCCGCTCTGGGTAACCAAGCCTCACGTGCTAGGATACCTTCTTGGGTGAAGGGTCTAGGGTATAGACTTTCGCGACCACCCTCATACTTCTGGGCAAAGGCGCTCGTCATAGGCGCTGGCAAAGAAGGATTGCTTGAGAGGTGTGGTACGGGGCTATCATGTGCAAATCCTGATGAGCCTAAAGTACGCCCATCTGACTAAGTAGTTCTTTTGAAGCCGACAACAGCTAGGCAAAAAGTGCCAAGAGTCCTTTGCCAAGGGGTTCTCGTGGCTTCGGGTTGATGTCTTCTGGCTCAGTACCATAGAAATACCCACTCCAGACTTGACATGGTCTGCAAAAGAATAACTGAGGTCGCGGCGTATACATGCACTCCGCCTCTGAGCAGACTTTCCCTGGCAGTTTGGCAGGTGCTCACTCATTGGCAGCGGAAGAATCAGAATATCAAGCCTAAACAATCCATGTAGCTGTACAGCATATACCTGGGGCCGAAAGTAGTTGTATAGGAACGCCTTTGGGCCATGTGATTATATACCATCTGTTCATGTATACCTACATGGACTGGACTCTTTGGGAAGCTCATTGCCTGCTGCTTGGCGCAAGCCCAACACTCAAGAAGACCGACAGCCCAATGACAGGGAGAGTGGCATAGACTTCTGGGCGATGCCAAGACTGTTTTTATCGCTATACAGGGATTACATAGAGTTGTTCTCTTTAAAAAAAGAATTATACCCAGTAAAGTCCCGATGGAGACTAGAAGACAAACTCAGGCACCTTGAGCACGGTAAAACCTGACAGTCCTTAGACAAGGGCTTCCTGGACTTTAAACAGAATCCAACTCCAGCTGCTTCGGTCCCAAGCCTTCAACCTGGAACCCCTGAGAAAAACCAAGTGAGGCAAATCACGGCTACATTATGAAACGGAGCGTACGCAGCTCAGGATGAAATCGCACATGGCGCCAGGCACCCGGAACCTTTCCAAACTCTTATAAGTTCCGAACCCTATATTCTAAACCCTCAGCCATCAAGCTGTGTTGAAACCAGCATAAAGTCTCGCGCCTACAGAGCACCTGTGCTGTGCGGGAGGGCATGTAAAGCCTGGACTGGGTCCATGCAAACGCCGAAAGAATCCAGTACATGGTCTTAGTGCTGCTTGTGTTCCCACCAGTCGTTGTGCTCCATAAAGACGCACAGAAATGAAATGCAACAACACGTTTGCATAACAGTTATTGCAGTAGTAGAAGAAGTAGCAGCAGCAGTAGCAGCAGATGCTTGCAATTAGTAGGAAGTAGCAAAACCAGATTGTATAGCTTGGGCTCGTGTCGGAAAGTTTCCAATGCAGGCATGGTGAGGGGGTGTATGGGATACATGGGGACATGACGCAAACGTGGATGGTGTAAACAAGTGTAAACAATAATTCTGGGGACTATTTGTGGATGCTTTAAAGTTCTAAAGGTATGCAGGCACGGCTGTTGTTCTCTATCCTTGCCCCAACATTAACTGGAGCGCCACAGGATTCTGAGTGGTGTGCCAAGGGCATGTGCAAATGAAAGAGGGCTTCACAGGAATGTACAGCTTCTGGGGTTTGCAAGTTAGCCTTCAGAAGGGTGCGGCGCGGGTGAGCAAAGATTGGTGGCTTGACACCTGACAGTCATGCTTGCCCTGTCGACTTGAGGACATACGGACTAGCTACTCGTGGCAAATGGCCACATGAGGCGATTTCCCTTTGTTCTTATCACCCCACGGCTTCAACGAGCGAACCTGTGGTAGAAAGAATCACGGGTTCTGAGGGATTCTCAAGGATTGTGCAGAGAAATCTAATCGCCCGTGAGAGCCTCGCACAAACAAAGCATGTGTCCAAATAGGCTGACAAACTTTGACACTGCAGGGTGCACTAAACCTGAAATCCTGAACCCTAAACCTTTGGATGGCTATTCTTTGTCGCATACCCGAGTTGTTCACCCGAATCTACTTGGCTTGACTCACGAACATGTCACTTTTTTTTTTTGGCCAGGTTGCTTCACCGAGTGCGGGCGGCGGTCCAGCCCATGCAGGGGCGGAAAAGGGTTCCCATGACCGTATTCCAAACCTGCATGCTAAAGGGTTTATGGCTTCGGGTTTAGGGTCGATTATGATTCACCAGGGTCCATATCCCCCAATAACTGGATACTTGGGACTTTAGTACTAGTAATTCTAGTACAGCTTCTGGGTAAGTGTATGATTATTGGGGCACCTGGATTCTTAAGGGATGATATTCTTACGCTTCTTGTCAAAGAGCAACAATGCCTACAATGACAGCTGCCATCTCTGCTACTTGGGCTACTAGTACCTAGACATCCGCGGTCCCTGGGCACAGGATGTGGGGATGTCCCAGGGAATTCGTTTCTAGGAGCATATTCACATGCCTGGAAGGACATCGTGGGGCAGCATGCTTCTGCGTACCCCCTCCCACCCAACCTACGTATGGGAAGGACCCAACTTACAGTATGCACAAAGGAAACCGTGGAAGACAAAAAGTTCAAATGTCATATCACACCTTACTGTTCTCCAATGAGAAGCTTGCGGTCCACGACCCCCAAACCTCAATTTGAAACCTCAGCCCTAGGAGTACTCATGCCTCAAGGCAACCGGAAACAAAAGAGATCAAAGTGATAACTGGATGTACCCTTGAGGAGAAGGTGGCAGCAGCACTAGCACGGAGAGAGAGCAACCTAGCAGCAGCGGCAGCAGCAGCAGCAGCAAAAGCTGCCAATATCATTGCTGCCGTGACAAAACATCTCCAAAAGGTACCTGCAGCCACTCGGGGCACTGAAGCTAGAGTGAACCCCTGAGTCCCTGGCGCATGTGGCCGCCAAATCGTCCCTCGTCAGTGTCGAGCACGCAGCGCATGGGCTCATCCTTGCTTTTCTCACGCATTGCGTGAACCAGCGCTGATCAAAGAAAATCCTCAAGGTCGTGCTGCAACATGCTTTCACTCGCCCTAGGCTTACGCAAGCCACGGTCATGGCTCAAGAGCCCAAGGGATATCAGGACTCATGAAGGCCTTCTACACGACATGATTAGCCCTCCGACACTTGCAAAGCAACAGAAGACACAGGAGCTTGTGTCCCCATTACAAAAGCCGCGGGTATGAGTTTCAGAGGATGCTTTTCATATATTTGGGAGAGACGTCCACAAGGCCTCCTTTAGAAACCCTCTCAGTTTGCTCTCATAAAAATAGAGACCCACATAAATACATGGATACCGCGCATTGTAGAGCCCTACTTTAAGAAGGTCCCATATGGAGTCCCCTCAGGACTTCTTCAACAGATGTAGGGCGCTGGCGCAGTGTGTTCCGATCTGGTAGCCCTCGTAGCTGTTGCATGGATGGAAGTTGAAGGCCTTGGCTCAAAGTTCAAAGAGTAGCAAGGCACAATTCAATAATTTCCTGGTAGAAAGAAATTAAGGTGTACAAGGAGTAACAGGAAGCGTCTCGGTATTACACAGGAATGGTGTAGGTGTGTGGGGATCACATGCCCTCGACGAACAAGCATGGAACCCTGTAGAACTCTTGTGAAAAGACAGTAGCTGCTAAGGGGACTCTCACGTGAGCTTGCGGAGTGCACTGTAGATACGTGTGTTACATGGCGTGTAGTTGCGCCCGGCTGTTAGTCATCACTGGAACGGCTGCAACACTGTGGATCTGCATTGACGGGCCCAAGCCCGTCCACAAACACCTGTCCTGCCGACTACGTTGTTGCACTGCAAGTGACTGCGCTGGGTTTGTGTGATTGCTATTCCTCCTATTTCCACTATTAGTCCTATTGGTAGTATTACTACTATGAATACAATCTGCTAGGCCCACCTTTGACAGAACCGCTTTAACTTCTCATTCTTGGATCTGGAAATCAGCTCGATTGGCAAGTTGTACCCTCCCTTTTTTTGAGCGGGGGGTCCGAACTTCATTATGACCTGATGAACATGATTTGGAATCCTGTGCCTTATCCATCTCAGCACGAATGGAGACTTGCACTATCCGAGAACAATCCTGTAGATGCTGACCTTCCGGTGTGGGAGCCTTTTGCAAGCTACCAGGTCCTTTAAAGAGGGGGGGATGGTTCAAGGGGGCGAAGTAACGCAGAAATAATCCCTAGTACTTCCCAAGGCCCTCTAAGGTTGCTGGTACCTGGCCACCATGAATCCCCGAAAACTTGGTGAGCATGGCAACTGAGGCTGGCCCTTGAACCCGTAAAGCCATGTCTGGTTGAGCATGGAACCAAAACACGAAAACAAATTCTGGGGAGCCGTCATGTGTACGTGTATACTGTCATCATGCTTGCAACACGTGCCCTGAAGTAAGTGGCAACTGAAATCTGCTTGCAGCTCAGGATCGAAAACAAGATCGCCCCGCTCAAAAACGATAACCTTCAAGCTGAGAGCATATCGTACCCAGAGGGTCCAAGTACCCAATAATTAGGTACTTGGGGTTTGGGTAATAGTAATTATAGTACAGGTTTTGGGTAAGTATATGATTATTGGGCACTTAAACCCTTAGGGGTAAGGGCTGAGCTTCTTGAGAGTTTCTCTGATTCGGAGGCCTTGGGGATCTTTGTTCGAAGCGGGGGACCGCATCCACATTCAGAATCTCAGGGACCATTTGGCTCAACCTCGAAGTCCTAATACTTAGAAATAATTTGAAAAGCATACACCTTGAACCTAGTCGAAGTATACATGTACATGTACTGCTTTGGCACCGGGACCCTCCGGGAAGGGTCGAGCATGGTCGAGCTGCTTCAGAGAAAGGAATTCTTGAAACAATATGCTAGCAGCCATCCCCTCTCAATGACTACAAATCCTCCACGCTGCAATAAAAGCCCCAATGCAATCCCATGCTATGTTTGTGGAAAATTCATTGCCAGGGGGTGCGGGGATATCATTGGTGGAGGTGATTAGATGGGATCTGCCAGGGTGTGGTCATGTGCAGTCAGCAAAGCTTTAGACCATGCTGCAACGAAATCTGTGGGTTTCCAACATTCAGGGTCCCTTTATCGGAGCATGATAAGGATTATAGCAAAAACTAGTCAGGGTCTAGGGTTTACGGCTTAGGGAATCCAAAGCTCAACAAAACTCAGGAATTTAGGACCCTACACTACAAGCACTGTAGGAGGCGTTTCGGCTACCTGGGCCGCAGGTTCTTGTCATTCCGGATCCTGAACGCTACAATGGGAACCCAACTTTCAACCCTAAACCCTAAACCCTAAATCCTAAACCCTAAACCCTGAAGATTCCTGGAGAAATTAGGAGAAGGCCTTGTCCATCTCGTCCTTCTTGCTCACGTACTGGTGATGCGCGTTGACGAACTTGAAACGGTTCTCGCAGGCCTTTTTCTTGGGGGATTTCCCTGAATCAGGGTTAGATATAGGGTTATATAATAGTTATATAGGTGTTATATAGGGGTTATATATGGGGCTTAGGGCTTCCCAAAAATTGAGGGTAATGTTTGAAGGTCCTTGTAATGAGGATTATAATGTATTGGGGTCGATCTGGGGCCCCCCCTATTTAGGGAAGCCACCGCTCGGGATGAAGGGGCTTTGAGACTAGCATGTAATTAGGGTCTTAGCTTAGTGGTTGAGAATTTAAGGTGCAGGGTTTACCTCAATGGTGCTTAGGAGGGAGCGGCGCCATGGTGAGTTTTCTAACTTGAGCCTACAAACCCTGAACCCCTTGTACAGGTACAGCAAAAAGGAAGAACCAGCACGAGTTGGGCGCAGGGGTTATGAGGGTCTGGGATCCTAAGATGGTTGGGGGACTTGGTCATAACCAACTAGGATTTAGGATTTAGAGGTTTGGGGTTTAAGGGTTTCGGGTTTTGCTTCTTTGTCGAGCGCCTCATTTACACCCAGGTTTATGCAGGGCTTAGGGACAGAGACAACCAATGATATTGAAGATGCAGGCTATTGCCAAAGCAGGAGAATGCCTATGACCAGATAGTGTTCGTAGGCTGCAGCCACATAGCACACACAGCAAGCATACCTCACCAGGACTTGAGCAGCGGGTTTAAGTCATGTATTACCCGGTGAACCAGAGCTGGCCTCATGACCACTCACAAAGAAGCGGATACCCCCTGGATCATCCATGCTCTCTGACCCTACAGGTATCTAAGGTGGTGTAACATCTTAGAGGCGTCCGCGCGGTTTCATGTCGGCTTTGGCAAGCTCTTGAGACGTGACTCAAGCCGTAAAACCAGTAGGGCTTTGGGCTTTCTGTTGTGCGCCCGTCAGGTACACCTCCATCGCATCTCCATCGTCAACTCCTTATTGTTCCTCAGGATCCTGAGACCCCAACCCCCCGAATACCCCAAACCCTAAACCTCAACTCCAAAACCCACCCCAGAGAGTCCAAAGTACCAAATAATTGGGTACTTGGGTTTGGGTAATAATTGTAGTGCAGGTTTTGGGCTAGTATATGACTATGAGGTACTTGGACCCTTGGGGGACTGTAAACAGTCCTTCAGAATTCTGTGAGCTCCTAAACCCTAAACCCTAAACCGCCTGCATGAGCTCCTCAAAGCTCTGGAAGAACTTATACCTTAGATTCTCATCTTCCGCGAGGTCCCAACCTTGGCTATAGGGTCTTTGTATAAGGGTTATATGGGGATTATATAGGGGTTATATAGGGATTATATTGGGGTTATATTTAGGGTTTAGGGTTTAGATACTTACCCAAAACCTGTACTATAATTACTATTGCCCAAATCCCAAGTACCTAATTATTGGGTACTTGGACCCTCTGGGTGAGGGTCTTTGTATAGGGTTTAGGGTTGAGGGTTTGGGTCAGGGCTTGCCGGGTATAACTGGGGTTATTATATGTCCAATAGGGGCGATAAGTATACTTATTAGGTCGCCTCCAAACCCTCGAAACGGAGCCTGAGCTTTTTATAAACAAGTTTCTTGTTTTGATGGGTGTGGTGTTGAGACCAGGGAGCGGTTTCGGCAGGGAGAGGTTTTCATGCAAGCTTCGATTCAGGGCATCTGCATATATTCATATCAAATGGAGCTTACATACGGATGGTGCAGGCATAGTGTAGGGCTCGGAGTAGCATCTTGGGCCAAGGGATGAAAGGTTGAAGTTCAAGGTTAGGGGATAGTTCTTAGAAAGTTGTTATGCTTTCCGGTTGTATAGAGCCCATTTAAAGCACCGAGGTAGGAAAGATTAGATGCTGAACTTCGGCTACACCCAGCCCTCAGAGATTAGAAGCGATGCTACACTGTATTGCCTTCGTTTGAGTACTCTCAGTTGCCCTAAACCCTAAACCCTAAACCACTAGAGAGGAGACCGAGAACATATTTTGTGGCATCACTTCCGCAAAGTTCCGAATGATGATGATATTACTTTATCTTACTGGTTATTCTTAGTAGGGAATTAGGGAATATATTATATAGGGGCTATATATATATATGTAGATATTCTATTTTTCTACTGCTCACCAGCAAGTTAAGAGTGGATGGGGTGGGCGAACTAGAGCCCCTTCCAGTCCTGCAAAGCCCTACTTAACTTTCGAATTCACTCTTCCAGTAGGTGCCTGGGTAGTTTAATGGGCTTGAAAGCAGCATGGCTACGATGTTGTTCTGAAATAACTAAATGCATTCGACCAATTAGAAGCTTCGGGCTGAGCTCTCATGAGCACTAGTAGGCACTGAAGCACTTTATCCGCATTCCTATATCTATATATATATATAAACATCGTTACCCCAATATCCCTTGCCCGCCTTTCGTAGCTTTCTTAGTCCACCTCCCCTGAAACCCTGGAGCATACACCCTCTAATCAACTTAGCCGTGCTGTCGGGTAGGTTTGCAACAGTCGTTCCGGATTCCCCAGCGCCCCCGACTCCTGTCCCGAAACGCCCTACCTTCCTCTAAGCTCATCTCCCTCAATTGTAAGAGCTAAAATCCTGAAACCCAAGCTTCACAACCCCAAACCCCAAACCTCTCCCAAAACCCCAAACCCCAAACTCTAAACCCTAAACCCCTAAACCTGCAAGCAGGGTGCGCCGTCGACAGTGATGGTGGCTCCACCCATTCTCAGGGCGCGGGAAGTCAATCCACTCAGGATGCCCGAACTCGTTGCCCATGAAATTCAGGTAGCCCTCAGGGGATGTAGGGATTTTAGGCTTCAGGGTGTTTAGGGATTTTGGGGTTTAGGGTTTAAGAGGGGGTTTTGGGGTTAAGGCTTTTGGGTTTTAGGGTTTAGGGGTTTAAGGGTTTTGGGATGTTTTGGGGGTTTAAGGTTTAAAGGTTTTTAGGGTTTGGGGTTTTAAGGGTTTTAGGGTTTAGGGGTAGTAGGGCTAGGGATATGTAGGAATATTATAACGAGACGTAGGGTTTTCATGTTTCCAGAATTCAGTTGTCTTTTCCTGAGGAGTCCTTACATGAAATTCACCTTCTTGTTGAATAAATTTTGGGATACCTGAAGAGTTCCTGTTTTTGGAAAGCCCATGTAGGCCATGAGCTTAGACGTTTGATAGATGTTCATATTAGGGTGGGGCAGCGGGGGCCCAGGATTGCAAGGACGTTGTTCTGGGCATGTTGTCAACGTGGCAGAGCCCAGGTCCAGCAGCTGCTGCTGCTGGTGCGAACAATACCAGTACTGCCAAGATAACCACATACACTACGGTGACTATCGACATCGCCGCCATTGTCATTGCCACTGCCACCACTAGCACGCCATCAGTACTGCCATGAGACGAAGATGATCAGAACAAACGACAGACGGTCACAGAAAGCAACTACAAGGGACCGATACGTTTCAAAATCACAAGGTCAAAACACTATGCATGAACATACCAGCACGGACACTTACACTTTCAGCTTCAGTTTAAGTAGGTAGCACACGAGAGAAAGAGCCAGACCAAGAACAAGCAGCAGGCACATTAATTTCACACTGAGACGTATTCTGTACCTCAGGAGATTAGAACCTGAAGTACGAGTACCCATCTCCATCATCCCATGCTAGTCCTGGGTAGGGTTTAGGGTTGAAATCCAGCGACAGACCTGCATAAGTCCCATAGTTCTGAGAAGCCCTCCATACAATCAGCCCTGAACATTTACCCCTAGCAAAGCACACCATAACCGCAGAGACATTCACCCTCTTTTATTAGGATTTCCAAGTCAATCCTTGTGATTATGTGTTCTCCGGGGTTCCTACATTTTTCTGGAAATTGGCATTCCGATGGCCTTTGGTTCAAGGTTTAGGGTTAAACTGGGTTGCTGTTAAGGCACTTAAATTATGTGTGTAAGTATTATATATATATATAAATGAAAATAAGGTTTTCCCAATATAGTAACTTACATTAAGTTCCTTAACAGCAACCCGGCAAATCCTGAGTCTCTGAAGCCCAAACCGCTAACCCAAGCCTAGGAGAACAACGCGGCCTCCCCGCCCAGGCCCAGAACCAGAAGCCGCATCATTTTGTGCAGCCTGGGAAGAAAGACTTCATGTTTAGGAATTAGGGCGGTTGACGGGTTGAGGAAATATGTTTATACACACATATTAGGGGGTTTGTAGGGTCTGGAGAATATCATTAACTCAGAAGTGGAGAATCAAATCGTAGTCTGACGTGGAAACTGACATATTATCGGGGTTTACGGGATTATGTGCTGTATGAGCCTGAATAAATACGAACATCATGTTGAGCTCTATTTGAGGTACCCTATACATTAAGGAACCATAACGTTGGCAATCATGTTGGACCCTGCGGTACGGTCCGCAAGCTTGAAGTGAAACCATGTATGCTCGGTTTCCAGGAATACCCACTTGCTGACTTCCCTGGGCCGAAGCACTCCACGCTGTATACCATTATAAAAAGAGTGTACGAACCCCTAAACTGTAAAGTGTAGGGTCAAGCTGCTAAGAATATGTATGAGCTAGTGTCTCCAGTATCCCCTCTCATAACCTTATATTACTCCCCTATATAATCTCAGAACCCCGTTTGAGGGATTTAGACTGTAGCGCACATGCGCATCTCAAAAAAAACTGGGCCCCTCACGCAAGTCCACGATCGATACACATCGAGTGGAACGGACTTGTGACGACGCTCATACCAGTGTACCTCTAAGTTTAGGGTCGGGTTGAGGGTACCCCTCAAGGGGCTCAGGGCTGAGGTTGTGTAGATCTAGGGATAGGGGTCGAGTTTAGTTGCTGGGGATTTGGAATCTACGGAGTCCTCTGGGTAGGCTGGGTAGCTGACAGCAGGCTAGCTTTCTATAACGCTCCCTGACTGCTCCCATGCGACCTCTATTCTTGGTAGCACATTGGGGCTACGGTGATTGGAGAAACTCGCGCACCACTTTGCGTACAGCAAGTCCTCGGATGTACAGCAAGCAGCGGATAATGCAAGATTTCCTCCGTCTACAGTACCAATCTATACTGCCCTTCTGTAACAGTTCTGGGTCACATTTCGGCATCCATCAGCCAGAAGGCAAGCGTCTTGTCTCCGACAATCGCCTGGCATTCCAGGCTTTGAGGATCCGCCTCTTTGGGCTTGGAGTCTTTTTAACCCTAACGGTCCAAGTACCAAATAATCATATACTTACCCAAAACCTATACTATAATTACTCTTACCGAAATCCCAAGTACCTAATTATTGGGTACATGGACCCTTAGGGTAATGTCGGAGCCTATTCAAGCAGAACCTGACTTGGGGGGGCATATCTGCTGCAGGATATCAAGCCAGCACTATTGGCCATGATTCAAGCTTCGGCTTGGGTTCTCTTAGTTCCTCCTCTTATCTTCATCTGTAGCCCACTTGAGGCCTTAGACCCTTAAACCCTAAACCCCTAAACCCCTAAACCCCTAACCCCTGAAACCCTCAACCCCTAAACCTCTTCATAAGGCTTCGAGATGCTTTGACAATCCCCAAGCTTGGGAATTGTCAAGATTTGAGCTTGTTGCTCAGAGTTTGCAAGACGAGGGCTAGAGATGTTGAGCTGCAGGTTTTGGGGGTTTCCCAAAATGAGGGGTACCTTTAGGGTTTAGGGTTTAGGGGTTATATAGGGATAATGGAAAAGAAGATGGAAACTACTATAGTATTATAGGGGTTATATAAGGATAATGGAAAAGAAAATGGAAACTACTATAGTATTTGAGCTGCAGGTTTTGCAGGGAGTTCCTGCAGGCGCCTAAATGACTGCCATAGGTTGTTGGGGTACACAACACTGTAGTTACGCTATTCAATCTTTCACATGCTGTTAGGGTTTCGGTGAGCGCAAGCGGGTTGAGAAGTAGTTTAGAGCATCCCAAAGTTCTGGGGTCGTGATGCTGTATCTTGTTGTTTACAGACACATGTCAGCTGTGATCTCAACTTCCCAGGCTTAGCACATTCCTTGGGAGTTGTGGGCATATCTTGTGTGAACATGGTGTGTGACGGCTACTGTACACATCAGCATGTGCTCAGCTCCCTACACCCAGAATGGCCCCATGCAAAAGATGCGTCAAGCCCACGCTTGCAGAAACCAAATCCGCCAGCGCCTGATCGTGCGACTCACAGTAGGCAATGACCTGCGAAGAGCGATGTCACCGTTACAAACCCAAAGGGTCCATGTAGGTATTCAGCATGTACTTACTGAGCCTCTGCATATACTATATACCTACATAGACCCTTTGGGAAACTAGAGGGCCCAACTACTATATTAAGGGTTTACGGTATAAGAATAATGGAAAGAGAATGGATACTACTATGTTTAGGGTTTATTATAACAATAATGGAAAAGAAAATGGAAACTACCTTGTGCTTGACACCGGCTGTGAACCAACGCTGCCAGCTTTCCACTAAGCCCATTCCCGACCTTGTGTCTCATGTGTTGTTCCCCTTGCATGGGTTGGTTTTCAGCTGTCTCTCTGAACAACATCGCAGAGACTCCCAGGTTGGCGATGAATGAGCATGCGAACATGCTTGCCGCCTGTTCTTTGAGTATGGTCCAACTGGGAGCTACTGCAAGCAAATCACCCTTGCTTTGCTGGGCAACGAAGGCTCTGCCCACAGACAAGCTCAACGTGAATCCTAGGAGCTATCTCGCAGCAACTAGCATATGACTGCAGAAAGCTTTGATGACTTGGACATCACGTTCAAGTTAGCAAGCGCCGATGCAGAATGGAGAATCACTGAAGTGCAAACCGGGCATATGTACACACATACATATGTATATATACATATATACAGGCTTTGTAGGCACTTACTTATGCAAGGATTCATACACTTCACAGCAATATACATATGAGGCTTCAGGTAACCCCAATGAAGGGGGTATACAGGCTTATATACGGATCATATGGGGTATACAGGGATTCCGATGTGATATTCAGTGGCTAATGAAGTGTCCAGTGTCAGGCCTTCTCCATATATCTGCGGTTCGTCAACGTGTGGACCAAGTGCGCCATGCCCCATTGGTCGTCGGTGGACTTGCGCGCATGTAGAGGGATATGTAGGGTTTAATGAAGCATCAAAGGGGAACAAAAGTCGAAAAGGCCTTCTGAGAATTCTGCCAATTCGGCCGTTTCAGGCTTTTTGGATCTCATAAATGGGACACTCGGGTCAATTTGAGAACCCAGCGCATGATGCTGCAACACTCTCACCTCTCTCGGGGACCTACTTCTTGGGATCTCGGCAGCATAGCTTTCACGCCGGCGCGTGTTCGTATTCCCTGATTGTTTTCTGACGGCAGCGCTATGTGTGTCTACGGGCATGACCGACACGGCTTGTTTGTCACTTTCAACAGTACTGGGCGGCATCTTTTGTGAGCAGTGAAACGATGACTGTCCTTCTATTCAAGCGAAGCCGGTAGCTGAAAGAAGTTGCTGAAACCTAAGCACCATGCAGGTGCTATCCTCAAGACTATAGGACTCGCTGTCATACTGCAAGGGCCCAATTTCCCTAGATAAGAGGACCATAAAATATGGATCCCAGAAAAATCCTTATGATTGGAACCTCCAAAAAGGTACCCCTGGGTTTGGGAAAGAGTATCTGCCAGCCAACTTCAGGTATGCTTCACAGGACAACCAAATCTTAACATCCGCATCCGACTCTCCAAGATAAACTGGAAACTTCCTCAGCTGTGTTCTAGGATATTTGCGGAATTCCCAAAATTAGGGGTACCATTTTGGGGGTCCTAATGATAACGATTATAAAGCTTTGGGGTCCATGTTGGGGTCCCCTTATTTAGGGAAGCAATTCTAGCAGCGTTTGGGTAGTTGAATACTGGCGGCACTGCGTACACGTACTTCAGGAAGCATTAGCACATAGTGTCCAGCCTCCCCCTGGCTGGAGGGGTTTATATAGAGGTTACACATATATGTATATATATATATATCCACACCACAAAGACAGTAATAGCATTCTATTCCCTCGCCCCTATATCAATTTCACGACTAATTCCATGAAGAGGATCCCCCCAATACGCCTCTGAAGACTTAGTCCTACACATGGGGAACCCCAAAAACACCCCTACTTACTTTCTGGAAACCATGAGATAGACCCCATTGAAGCAATCGCCTCGCCTCCTTCAAGTACCTCAGGTCGAGCAATGCGACAAAATTTCGAGGAAGGGTTGGACATTCAGTCTTGCACTGTTCACCGCAAAGGCGCAGAGCAAGACTCAAAACGCAGCACCACTCTGAACTACGGCACCTTGCTCGAGTTCTTGTTAACTTCCCTACCCTGGATGGTGCAAGGAATGTTGACCCTGCCAAGAAGTACCATAAAAACCGTAATCAACAAAGCCCAGGTGAATCCATGGGCCCTGAAAGCAAACCTGAAGCAGTTCCGCCTAAGCAAGCATAGAAAGCAGAAGAGCATTAAATCTTGCATGTGCAGCAAGGGTTCTGTTGAATACGCGTAGGCTGAGGGCACATAGAACAGGAGCTGTTGGAATCATCCCTGATCTACAGCTTGGACAGCCCCATTTCCTACAATGACAGTTCTCTGGATGCACAACATACAGGACTGATGTCGATCTGATACAGCTCCCACAAACCACTTATTCTATCAACTTATGGGTGTGCCATATAGGAGTTTCTCAAATGCATCCTCACATAATCCTCAAGATGGACCCTTGAAATCTCCCTGTCCCTCGAGGGGCCCCAGGGGGAACCCGCCAGTATGACGCATGCCGCCGGCTTGCTTGATGAACAGGTCTGGAATGGCCATGGCCAGTCGATAGTCGAATCCTAACAGCAGAGAGATAATCGTCCAGATACGTAGTCTGCAAGAATCAGAACCATGATCATAGAAGGGGAAGACATGATAGCAACAGGAGCAGGACCACTAGTTTGGTTACAGGTATGTTCGTCAAAAGCATCACAGCGCGGTAGCATTTCTGATGTTGAGGGCAACCGTAACAAGCCTTCACAAACTTCAGAAAGTGCCTAACCCGAAGAGTTATCATATACTTACCCACAATCTGATCAAACCCAACAGTACCCAACTATTGGGTACATGGACCCTCTGGGTAGTAAGGGTGCGATGCAGCCATTGACAAGTCTTGTGATCTCCACAAACCTATGGGGCTTCCCCAAAATTAGGGGTACCTTTTGGGGGGTCCCCATAATGAGGATTATAGTATATTGGGGTCTGTATTTGGGGTCCCCTTTTCATGGAAAAACTACCACATCAGCTCCGACCGCCACGGCCGAAACCCTCGAGCTCAAGCCCATGAACCTTTCAACATTGAGCCCCAAAACGAGCCTCTCAACCATCTCGGCCGAATGATACTCTGTAAGCCCCAGGCTCTCAAGACCCTCCCAATCCTGGCCGCAAACCTTGAACCCTGCGATGGGTACTGAGGCTAGGACCGAAGCCACCCCATTCCACGGGCAGGCATAGGGTCGGCATGCCACTCACGTCCTCTTTGCAAGGGTGTGTATCATAGCTACAGTAAGATCTTGCCTGTGGATCGTCAAACTTGAAGACACACTCCCCGCCAGGAAGCTGACAAGAAAACCATTGTTGTGAGGAACTCTTCTGGCTTACTAGTGATTAGCCGGTTATGATATTCCTGATTCCCTGCTAAGCACCAGTAAGTCGAAGGGGTGTGCCAGGGCTCAAAAGCTCTGGGCATGAAAGTGGCAGCTTCTGTTCGCGTGAGCCCTGCCCTTGCCCTTACTAGGCGGGTCTTTGTCCAAATGCGCACGTTTGAGGCTGTGCAAGAATTGCCATCTTCGAACCTAGATCCCTTAAACTCATCCCTATAGCCCTATCAGGATCTGCCCTGCTAGGATCTGGGGCATACATGCCCACTTTGGATGAGCGCGTCCTCACCGACAGTCACAGCCGAGGGAACGACGCGATGGATCAAGTCATTTGCCAGCATCAGGTAAATGTGACCTGTCCATGTTCGTAGAGGGTTTGGGGTGGGACTTCTCAAAATCCTATAGCTACAGGGCCTGCAACTCCAAGCACAAATCACTGCTTCTCCTACACACTCTTTGGCCACCGTTAGCAGTGGCGAATACGCATCTTCCTCCTCTACTACCCTACTACAACTTCCACCAGCGCAAATTTCTGCAGCTGCCGCCACTACCCCTGCAACCGCCACTGCTACTAAGACTGCTGGAACAGGATGACGCATACCACTACGATTTCTCTGACCACGACGACAAACAACTCCAACATACTCATGCTCACACCCTTGTTAAACTGTTAGGGACATGAAGCTATGTAGCTGCTGAAATCAGGGGATGCTAGCTAGCATGCAAAACTGTCATAACGTATCCCTGAAAATCCTAGACCCCTCAGCAATTCTGCAGTTTCTTCACGGGAAGGGGGCGCAGAAGAGCTCAAATGGCCCAGCGGCTGTCTATGTCAGCATCTGGTCCGAAATATTCGTGGTAGCCACCAGTGTAGCCCTTCCCGATGCCGTGTGACTGGTACCTCATGTTCCGCCGTGCTTCATCGAAGTCAATTGAATCCCGAAGGGGCAAGGTACCTCATAATCATATACTTACCCAAAGCCTCTACTACAATTTCAATTCTATTATCCAAACAAACAGTACAAAATCATTGGGTACGTGGACTCTTAAAGATTGTATTTTCCATGGACAATGGGTCCGAATCTGAGACTGCTTTCGAGGTCAATCCGTGGGGTGCAAGGAAAACGAGGTCACTTCTGAGGGATTCCCAAAAGGGTTTAGAATTTAGATTTATTCTGACAACCATCCATCATATGACGCTTTGCGGGCTCGGGAGCTTATGGCTCCTTTCAAGTGGTCATCGCAAACACCGCCCGAAAGCAGCAACCAAGCATTCCAAACCTGGCGTTCACCTCAAATCTCCACTAACACTGCAAGACGCAAGTGCCTGAATTCCAGCAGGACCCCTTTTTGATAAAGTAGTTTCCCCAAACGGGGGGACCCCAATATAGACACCCCAAATACTATAGTCCTTATTATAGGGATCCCACCAAAATGGTACCCCCAATTTTGCGAAAGCCCCTATAAACAGCCCTTGGGACAGTCATCGGGGATGGCTGGCCTGCATGACACGACCGTACCAACGTCTCAGACTTGGCCTTTTGGAGTTTGTGTGCGGGCTAGACGATTAGCAAGCTGCAGGTGATTCAGGGACCAAGGTGGATTCAAGGAAGTACGCAACTCAATTACACCACCTTGAAATTTCTCCGCGCGCTGCTGTGATTGGGGTATCTGGTAAGCCAGGGCACAGCATCGAAGTGATCCCATCGAACCGGAAGCCATCAAACTGGTATTCCTCGAGCCACCATTTCACGTTGGAGAGCAGGAAGCGCAGAACCTGCCAGGCCATGGGCAGCAACCACCATCATCGTCACTGTCGTGACCCCCTGCAGATGGCGGGCGCAAACCCTATAGAACCCCAGAATGATAACAGGCACGCAAGCCCTGAACACAAAACGTAAACCTGACGGGAAGCGTCTGGAACAACAACTATCTAAACCCTTCCGTATCAGCCGTTGTCAGTCACGGGGTGTATTCCTGAAAGTAGCTCTGCTACCCCTGTCCAGCAAAGGTGCACGTAGCAGTCCCTAAACCCTAAACCGCGCGTAGGCACCCAGGAAACCTCTTCTGTCCTGGAGCCTCACGGATCGCAAGTCTACCCTCAAGCGTGTACACTTAGTTTGGGACCCCTCCAGAATATTCCCAGGCAGGAGTAAGCTGGCCCACCTCATACTTGAGGTAGTTGAAGATCTTCGAATCCCACTCCACATGGTGTCCCTAGCATGTGCGCATCTGCTGCTTATGCGGCTTAGTCCAAAAGTCCTTGTAGCGAAGGCTGCTGCAGCTGTCATTATCAGACAAGGGCACCCTAGGTGTCAGCAGACTGTGCTCCAAGAGTCTTCTAAATTCTGCTTAGACCCTAGCATTGCAGGCCAGAATTCGAGAAAACCGTTTGGGAACATAGACTTGGGGTACGAACTTGGAATTCTTGATGGAAGACCTGCCCGGATCTTTTGACTCCAAGGTTGTGGAAACTCCTAATTTGATGTTTGACCGGGTCCTGAACATTAGCATGGTTCAGAAATTGAAAATGAACGGGAGCCCGGGCACCATCCAGTAAAAAAGGGGACACGCCGTGTAAGTGCGGCCAGCATTGTATGGGGAGACATGTGCGAAGTCCATGGATTGATCCTGGCAATGATTGCTGTGCTGGTATAATACTATATTGCTGCGGAAACACTGGCTTCGACCAGGTGTGCAAAGTGAAAGAAGAAGCGGGAAGTAAACCAGGAACGGTCGGCAAAAACAGAACAGAACTCGACATCTGGATTCATGGCCATCTTGCCGGTAATGATGATGGCGAGGAGGACATGGAGGAGGAGCCTGGTGATGATGACGATAGTCTGGTGGTGGTGATGGTGGTGGTGATGGTTGGTGGTGATGGTGGTGGTCGTGGTGGTGAGGATGATGATGATGATGATGGTGCTGCTAATGATGATGACGGTGGTTGTGATGATGATGATGACGATGATGATGATGATGAGCGATGCACATCAGTTTACCGCGAGTCCTTGAGAAATCCTTAGCTGAGCGATGGCCACCATGATCATTCTCGGCATACTGACACCACTCCAACTCCCAATGCCCATGGCCTAGACCACAAAACCCCATAAGCCTGTAGCCCTAGAGGCCTAGACCCTGAAGTCAATGCCCAGCATGACGCGACTCTGCAGGCGCCTTTGGGCCCCCATGCGTGTAGCAGTGGTCTGTTCCATCCATCCTTGGTTTACTCATTGAGAAAATATTTTGTGGGGTACGTCTGGAGCCGCTGAGGATGCGGAGCGGTTCTAGGGGGAATGGGCCCATGTTCAAGATCAGTCGTTGTAGGTCATTTCGAAAAGCCATACGACCATATTGCGAGGCACCGTGTACGGCCCGAGGTAGCCGAAAGATGGTGACCTGGTAAGTGCATGCCCAACTACTCAGCCATAAACACAAAAGATAAGCTGCGTGGGGCTGAAGTGAAGATCTCATGCGACTCGACTATGCATGATATCTTAAGAGATTTCGTTGAGCAGGAAACGGCATGACTTTGCAGACCTCAGAGCCTGAACAACAAACAACTCGAATCTTCGGCAGCAGAGCTCATCATTTTCCGATATGATAAAGTGTACGTTTCACAAGTTGGGCAGTTCTGTTTCCAGCGCAGCGCGTGCAAAATGACTGGGTTGCTGTTAAGGAACTTTTGAACTACCATATTATGGGTATACCAGCAATAATCGAGTTTGCTTCTAGTGCTGCAGCTCAATTCAAGTTCCCTGACAGCAACCCAGATGAGACCCCTGGCCGATGCAGCATTCAAGGTTTAGCGTCTCCAGCCTGAAGTTGCAATTTGCTGTTGAAAGTATTCACGGGCAAAGGCGGAGGGTTATCAACATTATGGTGCCATAATATTGGGGGTAGCCGACATAGTCAGCGACATATTGTGGTGATGCCAAAGCAGGGACAATGATATTCACAGCCATCCCATATCTAGGACCGCCCCCTGATGAGGGGCTGATAGGCCCTGCTTGGCTCTGTTTACCTTATGAAGATTGAATTTATTCAGCCGCGGAATTGGGGTCATATATGCAACAAGTTTACTGCGAAAGAAGACCGTATGAGGCTTGATGGACCATTAACCTCTTAGGGTCCATGGGGTGGGTCCCCCTAGATAGGGCCAGATAGGGGATGCTGCTCTAGATGGGGTTCCCAAGCATGTCCATGACTTGTGGGGCTGCGCCAGCTTGGACGGGCCAAAGTGTTACAAATTCAGTGGTTTGTCCGCAAGTCCTGGGTAGTGTATAGAACCACTGAGGATGACATGACGCGCACTAACTTAGCGAACTAGCCACGGTCTTCCCCTGGCAACTTCTAACTCTTGTAATGCTCCACCGTCCATCTTCATTAGTCGAAAATGTGCCGAAACCAGGGCCCATGGTCATTGCGTCATCATCTTGTTTTACAGGAACCTGAATCCTGTGAGCCACCAGCCCTAAACCCTTAATGCTCCTCAATTCCTCAACTAAACCCTACACACCAAGCTTCTGGGCAATTCCATCCAAAGTATTGGACGAGGCGTGGGCATGCACCAGGTCCATGAGCACCTCAGTTTGTGGGTTCAGGTCTGGGGCTAGAGGATATAGGGGCCATCATAGGGGTATGTATGGGGATGATACAGGCTTATTTGTGGGTTTAACTTTGGGATGGTTCGGGGGTGAATTGTTTAGAGTTCTGCGCCTTAGGAACTTAAGATGTAGGTTCTGGGGCTCAAACCTAGCCGTTGAGAGGTTGAGGGTCTCTGTTAGCGCATTCGCGCAACACATGCATAAGGGCATCACCAACCACGCTAGGATTTTCCGGCACTTCGAGAGTACTCCACTGGTGCAAGAACTGCAACCACCCTTCCTGAGAAAAGCTGCGGCGCCCTCTTAACCCACATTGCATATGAGCAGGCGACTAGACTCAAAGGCTCTAGGGCGAAAATAAGATGAGGCGTATCTTTTTTGGGATTAGGCCGCATCGCTTCCTGAGGGAAAGGGGGCATTGCTTTTGGGATCAGGTATGGAATCCTCTGCTCTTTGCACTCATTTCCTCCTGCAGTACTGCCACAGGAGGCTACCATTTAGATGTTTGCTCATATGACCCACAGTAGCCATTGAACGCATAGCTGTGAGCATCTTACACATCAAGTTCCTGTCGTATGTCACTTTACTTTTTCACTTTGCGGGCTATGTAAAGGGTGAAACAAAGGGTATGACAACAATAAGGACAAAAACAGCTGTCTTCCCAAAACTTCCCTCAAAAGAGATTACCCTGAACCATCCTCAAGTCAAACCACCAACGCTATAAACCCCAAATACAAAACCCTAAAAGCCGACGTCCCAAAACCACAACCCCAGAACAGAGCTAAGCCCAAGGCACTTGACGCAAAGAAACTCAAAATGTACCTGAACGCAAAACCCCTGTATCAACCCTTAACCCGTAAACCCCTAAGCCCTAAACTCCTAAACCAACTAGCCTAAACCCCGAAATCCCTAGACCCCTAAACCATAAACCAATTAGCCTAAGCCCCTAAACCCTACAAGACCTGAAGGCCTTTTGCAGGGCAGCACCTGGATTCCCAAGCCGTGCGCGGTGTCGATGAGGTACTTAAGCTCCTGGGTTTTAGGGCTCACAGGTTTTAGGGTTTAGGGCTTAAGGGTTCAGGGTTTAGAGCTTAGGGGTTTTAGGGCTTAAGGTTGAGGGTGTAGGGTTTTAGAGCTTAGGCTAGCCCCTGAAAGATGGTGTCTAGGTTTTATCAAGTTAAGGACTTGGAGGGTTTGGGGTTTCAAATTGTTGTAAAGTCTAGGGTAGGGTGCATGATGACGGCATTGCGGTTTAGGCTGAGGATCTAAGGCGAAGGGCACCAATTGGAGTGAGTCTGTTAGACTCCCTTGCAGGCTGCTCGGATACAACTACTTCAAGGTGGAGATCTTGAGAAGGTTTCTTTTGCCAACTTTCTCAAATCAGGGCCCCCTCAGGCAAGAAAGAACTCTGGACCGTGGGCTTCTGAAAGAGCACCTCCATCAACAACAATAGATGAAGGCAGGGAGGTGTCAGGGTTGTGCAGCCCAATGGACTTAGCATGACTTGAGAGTCTTGAGACGACCGGAGAAGGATTCAAAACCCTAAACCCTAGTAGTTTGCATTTTCTTTTCCATTATCCCAATACAACCCCAAAATGGATAATATAGGGTAATATAGGGTACTATAGCAGTTTCCGTTTTCTTTTCCATTATCCCAATTATTAAACGCTTCATCCTAGACCCTACATAACCCTAAACCCTATTATAGTAGTTTCCACTTTCTTTTCCATTATCCCCATTAATAACCCCAATGTACTACCCTAGAATCCCTATAATCCCTGTAGTTCATTTTCTTTCCATTATCCCCATATAACCCCAATATATAACCCTGATATAACCCTAACATCATACAGCACTGACACCTGAACCAAACCTTGGCCGCAAAAGAGGCTCCTCTGGGGTACCTTGTCTGCTGGACGGTGCGAAGAAGGAGGTCACGTGGTAGCCAAAGCAACCTCAGGTGAGAAGACGAAAGTGGCTAAACAAACAGCCATAAGGGCATTCTATGACATGGTGAATCCCATTCTGGAGTCCTCACATGTGTAACTAGGCTTGAACTCTCTTTTGGGGGTAAGGAAGGTGTCGAGGACTTCCATCACAGAATGAGCAAGACGCCCGTGCAAGCCTCAGCCCGCAGTGCCTGCCCGAAACGGCTGAGTTCGTGGCCATAATGCGCATGCTCGGCAATTGCCATGAGCTGAACGGCATTGTAGCCCATTCCTTTAGCCCATGTTCAGGAATCAGAATCAGAATGTGAGCTTTCAGATTTAGCTTACCAGAGGACAGTTCGCGGACTCAATATCATGCATCCTCCGCTCAGCAACCCTGAGCTGGGCTGTGACAGAGAAGCCAGAATCAAAACTCCAGCATGATGCAAAAGTTCAGCAACATTACAAATTGAACTACAAATAGTAAGTACAGCAGGCATGCACAATAATGTTGACCACTGTAAGCGGCACAAGCACAAAGTCCAGCAATGGCCGGCCAAGTCTCGCTTGATTCGCGGCAGGACTGTTTCAGCAAACTCAACATAGGTTGCAACCTTCGGCTGGTCGGAGCCCATGCCGACCTTACATGTAGAGGTTCCCAAGAATCAGGGGGACCCCAAAACAGACCCCAACAAACTATAATCCCTGTGATCCAAGTTATATGCCCTAAACAATGTGGCTTAAAATTCTTTCCAGGTAGTCACAGACATGGGGGGAGTTGCTATCTGCTGTATTGGGGAGCAATGTCTAGGCGGTGCCTCCAGACGCGACTACTCGGATCCTTAGACTTGGTCATCAAGTTGGCTTTGATTAGTACATTATACAGGGACTAGACAGGGATGTTCCTCCAATAATGGAGACTCAAAGGGAAACAAACGTGGACAATGGGACAATGTAGTGGTTTGATGACGACGCACTTGTAGTGTGATCAGGAAAGAGGCAGAAGTGGTAACTGCGCGTCGGTTGTGGCAAAAGCTTAGACAAGAAAATGAAGTGCCAGTGAAATGGCGGGATAGGAACATGCATGTAAAACCAACAAGATATGTGCACTCGTCCATGTTCCGAAGGAACCCTTTACGCACATACAAGAGAGCAGCAATAAAATCTAACCTCGCAAATTGAGATAATGGAATAGAAAATGGAAACTACAAGGATTATAGGACCGTAAACCCCAAACCCAAAACCCAGACCCAAACCCTAAACCCTTAAATTGGGGTTATATTGGGGTATATGGTAGTTTCCCAAAATAAGGGGACCCCAATATAGACCCCAAAATACTATAGTCCTTATTATTGGGACCCCCAATAAGGTACCCCTAATTTTGGGAAACTCCTATATAGGGATAATGGAGCTCTAAGTCATCACCTTCGGCCACGCAGCATGAGCCTCATAGATCTTGAGGTTGTCAGGTCTGATGGAAAATGCGAGTTTCCCAAATTCCGGGTCGCGTTCACAGGGATTGCGGGGCAGCAGGAAAAATGTATATATATATATATATATAATATGTGTGTGTGTGCGTGCTTAAACTTAATCATACTCATATTCATTCTAGACACAGAGTTTCAGTGCGTCAAAAGGAATAGGGGTCCCTCCCGGGGGCCATAGAACTGAGATTTCTGTTTTCGCGAACATTAAAATGGGAATCCTTTTGGGAAGTGCCCAAAAAGCTCATGTATGTGATGCGGCTCGAGGGTTTTTGGGTTCGAGGTCTAGGAGCTATACGGTTTAAGGATCTAGGTTAGTAAGGTAGGCGTTGGCGACCAGGATTGATGGCTTTCCGCTCGATGCTTGGCATGCTTTGTGCAGCCAGAACATGTTGAGCTCCACGCACCCAGCTAGCACTCAGGGTCTCAGGGCTTATCAGCCTGTATGAGGCTAGGAGAAGTTGTGGCCTCCTGGTTGAACCTAGCATTTGTTTTTCCAAAGGTGTTGGGTGGTTGAAGTCGCACTCCCCGCGACCCGCACAAGAAAAGCAATGACTTGCGACAGGCGCAGGAAGGCACTACTGTACAAGACTTGGTACCCACGCAGGTCTCAGATTCTGAGGACAGCCCATGTGAGGCAGCCGCATGCCCTCTGGCCGAAGTTTAGGAAATAGGAGGGACATGGCTGCTTTGAGTTTCGTGATTGGGCAAAGCTGGACTCTCATCAAACTGGTTGCTGGTATTAGCCTCTATAATCCGCAACAGTAGAGGGGTTGCCATTTTTCTTCCCCTACTAACAACCACGAACCAACCAGCAAGATTTTCTAAAAAATGTGCAGGCGCCCCTGGCCTCGGCGGGCGGGGATTCAGGAACTCGTACCGCTCCTGCGGGCAGAGCAAGAAGATTTCACCTATTGAAAAGAAGGTATCCCATGCTAAAGATCGAAGTTCGCAACAGATGGGACACGAGGATAGGTCTCTCGCCCAAAAACTGAACACCGCCTCTATGAGTGCTGACTATAATAATATGTCTCAAGGAGAGGTCCTTGTACGATCTTGATAAAGCATGCTGATAGTGGCAAAGTCAATCAAAATGCTTAGAAGCGAGCCTGCGACTGTCAAGGGGAAGATCACACGTTTGAGCTTTTAGTCTTCTCACTACGGATGAACCTGAACTCAAAACCTTGTTTGAATCCCGCATCATGTTGCAAGACCTCCAGCGCAAGGCAGCAGCGACAAACTGCATGCCGTTCTCAAGGCCCCGTGTTCAAGTTGGATGCCTGTACTGGGACCTAGCGCAACATCCGGAAGGCTACGAGGTCTCGAGCCAGGGTTTTACTTCCCCTCAACAAACATATGGCTGCATGTACTTTGGACTCTACAACCATGTGTAAGGTCTCTACAAAGTGTGGATTCACCTCTGCGGCTCAGCAAACAAACATCTCACTCTTTGGAGGTGTACGGAGGCCCTCTAATCCTGAAATAAGCCCGGTCAACGAAGTAGTTGTAACAGCATCAGGAGAAGTAACAGCAAGAAACCACTTCATTGTCGTTCACACCAGCAGCAATAGATGATGCAGAATAAGGATTGCTGTGTTGGCCACGACCAGTATTGCCGTCGTTGCAGCAGCAAAAGCAAGCGGGGAAGAGGAAGAATAGGTCGCATCAGCAGAGCAGGAGAAAAGGACTGAGGAACTAGCATTACGCTATTGTAGAACGGATTATCACACTTCATCATCTCTTCGATGCGAAGGGTCCCAGCTACTCAAGATCAGTGTCCTCATCAGGAGGCTCCCAGAAAACTCCGTTGAAGAGGTTCGTAGTGTGGTCCTGGCAGTTTAAGGCTCGTGCCAACAGGCACCCCTTCCGCAAGCAGGATAACAAAGTCCTTTTTGGCTCAACAAGTACACGTGACACACTGATGGAATAAGCAGGTGACTCGACCACATTAGTTTGTGGATGGAGCATGGGTGGTATGGAGGCGAGTGTTAGGCAAAAACCGACTTCCGTAACGTCAAGTATCATCGGTAAACATGCGTTAGTGGACACGAGAGAATGCAAATGAGTACTTGGGAATCTCACCAACTGTAAATGTTAGCCAGCATCACCGTTGCCCATGTACCCAAATTCAACTGGAACCATTCCGGCAGCATGGGTCCGACCAACAACTTACCTACCCCTACACCATCACCCTGCGCCTTTGAAACTTCTCATGACCCCAACCTTAAACCCTAAATGCACGCTGGAAAAAAAACATGTACATTCAAATGTAATAGAACCCTGTCAATCCTTGCGACTCTGAATATGTCACCTGAAAGCTGCTAGCGGCCAGCGATTATGCTACCCCCCGCCCCAGACTAACAGATACTCTTTCGCAAAGGGTCCCGTTGACCATGTTAGTTTGGAACAGCTTTCGGGCAAACTAAACCCCACCCCAACCCCCCAACTCAGACCCTACCCCACAAAGCCTCCGCCATAAACCCCAAACCCCTTAAGCCCTAACCTTAAACCCAAATGCCCTAAACCCTAAAACCTAAGCCCTAAACCCTAACCCCCCAAACCCCTTAGGCCCTAAAGCCCCCAAGATCCCTCGGATCCTGCCAGGCCAGCTTGATCCAGGCAGGCACTCGGTCGTGCCATGAACCATCGTTGGCTTCCACCCCTGAGCTCTGAGCTCTCTTTTCTCCATTAGGGTTTAGGGTTTAGGGTTTAGGTTTTAAGGGTTTAGGGTTTCCTATTGGGGTTTAGCATGATTTAGGGTTCATAGGGATTAGATAAGAGTCCAAGTACCCAGCAGCTAGATGCTCGGGCTTTTGGGCAATGCATGTTTTTCCTGTCGCAAACCCATGAAGTCTCGAACCGCCAGCCAAATCACCGCGACAAAGCCCCGCCTCAATAGCACACTGCTCTATTTCAAGCCAACCACCGACAATTCCTGAAACCCTGCAGAAACCCTAAGAAGCAAAAAGGAACCCCGCCCCCCCCCCCAGCCCTGGGGCCCCTGCGGACTTTTATTTGAGTCTTGTGTGGAATGCCAGGAGAACCGTCAGCCTAGCAGGCTCTGGTGCACGGGGAGGTTGTCCCCAGAAGAGTTCGAAGTGATATTGCGATGTTGTGGGGGTCAGGTAGGTGTGCTGTTTATGTGTTCCGTGTTTTTTTGTACGGATAGTATATAACACATATAGGTAGACATGAACTTATACCATTGCATATGTATATTTGAGAAGAACTAGGTGCATTCAAAGGTTGGGCAATCTCATGCAGGAATCAGGCGCAGCTTCTTTGAGACCGTTGCGCGTTCACAATGGCTTCTACAGCCCAGACTCAAGACCCTGTCACCACATTGGCATCTAAGACAACGCCTCCTGCCTAGGACCACTGAAAGGCCCCCAATACTTATCCAATCTGAGCTCGTAAGCCTGCAAAGCACATCCGGCTGATTGCATTGACAGGAGTCCCTAGCGCTCTCCTCCGCCGAACACAAAAGTATCCATAGTTTTCAAATGGCTACAAACCAACATCCGTGCACAATCCGTATCAGCCCTCTACAGCCCCTGACAGCCCTGGTATTATTGTTACCCTCAAACTAAATCTCTACCCACACAGGGAAACCATCTAGACCTTGTCTCTCCAGCCTTGTCAGGGAAGTGCACGGCCCACCGCCCAAACCCCTCGGACTTCAAAGGCGTCGAGTTTCCCCAGCCGTTAAACCCACCAATCAGGAACACCTGCGCCGTGCAGGTTTTACAGGTTTAGGGTTGGAAGCACCTGAACCGCAAAAGTATGTAAAATAATGGCCTCTATGGCTAGTATTAGGTGTTTGGGGCTATCATTTTACATACTTTTGGGGTTTAGGCAATGACTTAGGGTTTAGGGGCAGGAGTCATGACCTCTTCGAACACTGCTGCTTCTCATTAGGCTTGTGGAATCGGCACCAGGACTCCGTGGCCCGGAGACCATGACAAAGAAAGCTGAAACTACTACTATTGTGCAAGTGGCCCGTGGCAACTCCTTCAAGGCACGTAACACACCACCTAGAGGCTTATACATCTTAGAACCTACCGCTTGTAGAACTGTCCAGTTCACACGTAAGGGCCTTGGCCAGACCTTTCAGATCTTGCAAGAATCTATTCATTGTAAAGATTCGGGCGTGGGAACCTAACAACCACTTTCAAAAAAGGGGTGACCACCGATATTTCCCATGAATGTACCAGCCGTCACGAAAATGCAGCTCCTAATGTTCATCTTGTATACTGGTCAAAATATTGAACAACCCTTCTCCGATTGGGATCCCCTCCTCATTGAGGCAGCGCCAAGTAGCACCCTTCATACTTCGGGCCCAGCACTGCATGCACCCTACGCCGTCCAACCTGAAACACACCTCAAGGCCCTACTAAACACCATGGAAAGAGGCCTGCTTGGCATTGGGCAACCACTCCCTGTATGTGTAGCCGCCTTCAGGCAGGTGATGAGTCGCTTTTGTTTGTTCTGGGAGTTGGTAGTCGTATCATTGCTGCTGATCTTTCCTGAGCCCTGAAGCTATGCATGTGGGGCTCCCGCGGGAATCCTTGTCGCGGTGTTACAAGCCCCGTGAAATGAGTAGTGGAGAACCATTCAAACTTCAAGCTGCTGTGCCCAAAGAAATCCATTCCCGGGTCAAAGATTTGCTTCAAGTGGCTTTCTTGACAGGCTTTTGCTACTGTGCTTGTTGCTTCTGGGCGGTGGGATATGCAAGAACTACTTAAGGCATGTTGACCGGCCGAGTGAGGTAGCAACTTACTTATGCCCCTCAAGCTCAGCAGAGCACTTTCAAGACCACGGGAACCTATGTGGAAAGCCACGAGTGGGCCTGACCTCTAAGACCCTTGCAGACCTGGGCAATGGTTTTCCTTCTATATCACATAAATCCCTACAAAGTGATATCAAGGGCTCATGTCATGTGGGGATGGGTTTTGGATGAACATCTGGGTCCAAGGGGCTCGTGTTTGAGCGCGCCTAGAACTTGAACCCATGCACCATCCAGCACCTGAACTCGGCCCTGGTAAGGGAAAAGAAAATGGAAACTGCTATATTATATAGGGGTTTCTATTGGGATAATGGAAAAGAAAATGGAAACTTCTAGACTCTTCATCCCAGCACCCCAGAATAGACACCTGCCACAGATTAGTGTTTAGGGTTTAAGGGGAACCCGCTTTCATGGCCTTTCTCGCGGATGAAGCCAAAGATCTTGTAGCCCTCCGCGAACTTTTCCAGACCCCCCTCATTCTTCTCCAGCTCACCGAGCCAGTAGCGGTATCCTCAGAGTTCTTTGGAGTTCAGATATTGGGTTAATATTGGGGTAATATTGGGGTAATATTGGGATAATGGAAAAGAAAATGGAAACTACTATAGTAAAGGCTTTTGGGTTTAGGGTTTATGGGGCTTAGGGCTCATTATGTTCAGGGTTTAGGTGACTTTATCTATCATGGTTGGGAGGATGATTTAAGGGTCCCCTTCTACCAAAAAATGCGACATCTTGAGAATAGGGGCTACCTACAACGGAAGTGTCCTGTAGTGCTGAATACTGGGTGGGCCATCTCATCTCAGGAGTGGGCAGCTGTCAGAGTCTTCTTCTCCCATCTGGAAGCTTCTTGATATGGAGCGTTGTATGAGTTGATTTGACTGAGATGTCGCAGGTTTATGGCTGGCATTCTTTGGCTTGACAGAGCTTGAGAGATTAGACTTAAGAAGTGTATTGGCGTTTTACAGTCTCTTTGATCGCTTACTAGTGCACGACAGCATGTATCAGAGTGTATCAAAATATGCCCACGGTTATTGCTCTCCCGGAATTCTGGCTCGTGGTTTGTCTGAGTGCCTGACCGTTAATGCGATCCCAGATTTGACCTGCCGGCATCTTTAAGGCAGAGTTTTAGGGTTTTGGGTCTCTGCACTTTCGATTGGCAAGCCTTTTTCAGGTTGAAGGGTCATTGCTCCGTTTTAGGTTGAGCGCCGTAGTTCTTGTGGGGTTCGGCTTCAGCGTTTAGACAGGGCGGCGCGATGTGCAACACACTCGCGGATTCAAGTGGAAAGTCTTCCACAGGGCTCCCCAGCACTTGTAGGAAGTCACTGGTTGCGCTACGTGCGCATGCTCAGAAAATTACAGTGCTTCCTGTTGATCCGTTTTGGGGTTGCAACTTGTCCATCTTAAAGCCCTTTTAGCTCGCACTGCTGTGCCTGCACCATTCCTTATCATCTGCAGCATTCGACAACAAGAGCTACCCTGAACTCCCAACACACTAGACCCATGGCATGCCGTATGAAGTGCCGCAGGAAGCAGCCTTACAGAACCTAGGCTTTAGGGGCCCTGCCCCAGTGAGTAATACTACAAGCCCTGGAATGTATGGAGAGTGAGACCTTGAAGCCCAGTCATAACACTGGTGGGCACCGGGGTGGGGGACCAACGCGGCTACTGCAAAGTTACTGCGAACGCTTCGCGCCTTGAACTCCTTCTAGGGTGCGGTCTATTTCAAAGATCTTCAAAGACATTCTGACCTTGGCAAAAGCTTTGAAACATGGATTGTGGGGATCATCTTCTCAATGTCCGTAGGCCGTTGTGAGGTATGCAGCAGGCTGGCTCGAGCTAAATGGGACTGTCAGTCGGAGGGCTAGAGCAAAAGCTTGTGGGTCCAGGGGTGGTCTAGGGCATGTTGGTTGTGCTCATAATGTTCTTGTGGATGTATCTTCAAAGCAACAAAATCTGAATCCCTTCGAAGCTGCACTGCCAATTCGGAGGCCGAAAAGCTCGTGTTGGATTTTGCTGCAGATTCTGTTGAGGATGTGCTATCTGCTTCCTCAGAAGCCCTGCAAACAAAGCCAAAGGAACCGGAAATGTCACCAACAATGCGGACTGAGGTTTGTTTTGAAGAAGAAGAAACAAATGTAGCAGCAGTCGTAGTTGTAATAGTAGCAATCATGGTACTAGCTGTCCCACTTGTCCTCGTCCTCGAGCTCCTTGTCCTCGTGCTCGTCCTCCTCCTGCTCCTCCTCCTCCACGTCGTCGTCGTAGTAGTAGTAGTAGTAGCAGCAGGAGTAGTAGCAGTAGTAGTAGTAGTAATGGTAGTAGTAGTAATAGTAGTAGTAGTAGTAGTAGTAGTAGTAGTGCTAGGAGGAGGAGGAGGAGCAGCAGCAGCTGAGGGAGTGGTGGAAGAAATGATGATGATAATTTTGGTGGCGGAGGTAGCAGCAGCAACAGCAGAACGCGGTTGCATGGCAAAACTTTTGAAAGTTCAGCAGATACAGTGCTGAAATCTCTGTAGTTACGTGAACGTTGTAAAACATATTAAATCTTCAATACTATTCAAGCCATTCGCTGGCACCCCACATGTAGCAACATGGAAAACCCCTAACTAATCCGACCCGTCCGCCAAAGCTTCGGGCGGACCAATCTCAAAACAAACGTTTGGGAGAAATTCCAATACAATCATATGGGACCCGGGGCCTAAGCACGTTCTCGGCGGTCATCTTCATTGTGCTAGGAAAAGTATACAGGAGAAGGTGTAAGAAGAGGAGTAGGGATCGGAGCAACAGTAAGAATAAGAACATGAGCAAGAGCAAGAGCAAGAGCAAGGCAAACAGTAAGAGCAAGAGAAACACGAGTACATGCGTACCAGTAAGAGCAGGGGTAATAGCAAGTATAGGAGAAAGGGCGAGAGATAGGAGTAGGAGCAAGAGGGAAAGCGAAAATAAGACTAATAGTGAAAAGCCACAGCGAGACTGAGTTAAAGAGTAAAGACTTAGGAGTATATAGTATGAGCAAGAGCATGAGTAAGAGTCGGAGAAGGCATGGAAGTAGGACTAGGGGAATGGGAACACGAGTGAACGAGGTGGCGATTTTGATCCTGTTTCCAAGCCATGATTACAGCGGGATTGTGTGCCTCGGAATATGATTTGTATTTTTAGGAAGCCGAGGGTTCGCAATTACTATCACATAAGAATTCGATTTGGAGACGTTCTCTGACCCAGAGAGCTTCGTTATTGACATGGATACGAGCGCAAACACGTCTGATGGTGGA